GCAGTCCGGCCTGCTTCCCTTGCCTGTCACCTAAGCAGCAAGCGTGGCTGGTCAGGGGCTGCACCAGTGCTCTCAGGGGGTGCACGTGCACCCCTGTGCACCCCCTACATGTCGCCACTGATGAGCCCCTTCCCGATGGGGGCTCTGCACTGCGGGGTGGGCAGAGCTGCAGTGGGATTACACTGTAGGGCAAGGAAAGCTGCTGTGGACCATGGCAATGGCAGCGCTGTGGGGGCTTAGGGGGCTCTGGCCCCTTCCGGGCCCTGGTGCTGCCACATGCAGCCTGATGCAGCTCTGCCCACGCCGTAGTGCAGTGCCCCCACCTGGAAGGGCTCGCGCTCCCTGACATTATGACAGGGGCTGTTGCCCCCATCAAGGGCCCTGCCCCCTTCCACTGCAGTCGTGGGATGGGGGTATGGCCAGATGCTGGCTGGCTGAGCCCCTTGAAGGTGGGGGCAGGTAGGGAGGGGGGTTAGTCCCCCTCCCTCCGGTGTCCAGTGGAGGGGACAGCAGGGGGCTTGTTCCGCCTCAGAAAGGGAGCGCAGCACTGACCACAGGCAGATCTGGCTGCCACTTTAGTTAGAGGGGAGACTAACCCCACTTCCTGGCCCCATCTGTCTCAGGGGCCATGGTGCCCTGCTGCTGCAGCAGCAATGAGGGAGTGCCTAGCAGACCCGGATCAGGGCCCTGCTGGTGGGACAGGGAATGGGGAATGAAATCCCTCTCCGGCCAGTTCAGCCCAGGCTAGCCATGGCCCCGCAGCATAGCTTCCCTGCAGTCGAGGATGTGCTCTACCACCTCCTGGCGCCTGGCCTGAGCAACTGCAGGCATGTGCCCTCAGTTCCTCAGTCCACTGGGAATGTCTATCCTGTTACAAACTGGTTCAACCTATGCAGGTTAGATTAACCTGCAAGGGTTGAATTAATTCAGGCTCTGGCATTTTGGATGTCTGTCCCCAGCCTTGCAGATACACCTGGTCTCTTCTTGTCAGGGAAGACAGCTCAGTCACTTCCCCTTCTGTACAAAGCTTCTGGTTTGTTTTCCTGCTTGGGAGCCTTTTCCAGCTCTGCTTCGCCAGTTCTGTCTCTTCATCTCCTTTCTAGTAACTTCCCACATTTTCCAGGCAAGAGGAAGAAGAACCAGTAGTGCTTTTCAGGTACCCACAGTATGCTTCAGGACCTCACTCCCCAAAGAGGATTAATGTTTTCAGTTTTCTTGCCCAGGTGAAATGTTTCTTTTTTCCAAAATCCCTGATTTCTGGTGATTTTTCTTATTTGTGTATTCTTTAGATATTTTTTTTTCTGGTATGGCACCATCATTCAATTTTGTAAGGGCCTCCAAGGATTAAAATGTCATCTTTGTAATAAGTTGAAGAAATATATTTTTTCTCCTTTTGTACACATATTGTTCAATAGCTTATTTGATTCCAATTCAAGCTATTGCTTGGAGAAAGTTATTTTAGTTTATTTGCTTGTAAGGAGATGCCAAAAAGTACATTTTAAACTAGATGCTTGAATGGGTTATGCTCAAGGTTCATTTTTAATCTGGTGAGCCCACGGATGGCTGATACGTAAATAACCCAAACATAACTGTGAGTTAAATAACAAATTACTCAGACAACCCATGCAACTTCAGGTTCATGAGATAAAGGAAATGGCATCCCTAACATTGTGCTGTTTCTAATTACTTGGTGAACCAATTTTAACAAACTTGGGTTGTCATCAAAGTTATAATTAGAAAGGGTGTTGAAATGTCTCCTGACATCATTCCACTGGGAGAGGAGCAGGAACATTGGTTTTGATGGAGGATCTGCAAGCAGTTTTTAGGGTCGTAGCAAAGTAGGACTAGAAGGAACCTCGTGAGGTCACCTCGTCTATTCCTTCGCTCACGTCAGGATCATCACAGACTAAACCATCCCAGCCAAGTGTCTATACATTTGTTCTCAAAAATTTCCAGGAATGGAGA